TTTTTAAACATTCTCTATAATTTTCAATAATTCAGCAGGCATTACCGATAAGGCTTATGATTTAATAACACATATTTTTTTTCTATTTACCTAATTCGTCTTCACCAAATCCCAAGACAGGGCCTGAAAAGAAACCTCTACATGAACCAGTGTTGCCAAGACAGAGGGGTTTCTCTTGCCACTGTTTGGTTGCAGGACTCTGTTGCAGTGTTAAAAAATTTCTATATTCAAAAACACATAAAGCAAATTGTTATATTACATTTTGAATAGAGGGTTTTCACTGTCCAGATAAATAAGTAAACAGTTGCTGCAAGTACTTCCATAGATACATCTGTGCCGTTCATCATCTTACGATTTCCTGCCTGTTATTTTTCGGATGCTTAAAAAGCACAGCATTTCCCTTCCTGTCATTCAAACATTGCCAAATTGGGTTCAAGCTATGCTATATAGCCATTTGTGAATACTGAGCTATTTGGCATGAGAAAACTATGCCCATTCATTAAAAAAACATTCATTTTGCTCCATCAGTGATGTTTCCATAAAACCCCCAAAGTTGTCAATGTCTTACCAGTTAGACCTGCTTGGGAAACAGTTCCACGATTAACATTTATTCCCATCATAAGGTAAATAATGCATGTAAGTGTTCATAGAACTGAAATCTTAAGAGTGCCGTGATGTGAGTGTCTTTGTACGTTTTTCCAAGGACCAGATATGTTACATCTGTTGCCATTCATTAGAATGCTGTGCTATTTTATTTCCAAATCTAGAATTTAATCTGCATTGTCACACCGCTAAATTGGCAAAGTGATGCAGTATACAAGACTGTTGGTGTTCCTTTATACGGGAAGCTCAATAATAAATATACCTTATATGCATTTTTGTTTAAGAGTGAGTTATAAGAAACCTACCCATTGCGATCTCCAAATACATAACTTCCATAGAGTCTTTCGGACTGGCAGCCTCGATAGACAAATCCACCGACCAAGGATCCACTGCTGAACGGTTTGAATTCTAAAAGTGAAGGCTCACTTTCTGAAAAGGAACTACCGTAGCATTAGATCATATGCAGTTTCATATTTTGATTCACATTTATGAAAATGTTATTACTTCAAGAAAAGAGGTTAATTCCATTTAAACATTCCTCAAAATTCAAGATGTGTTGCTGGAAATGAAACATGAAAAAAATCAGAAAATTACAATAAAGGCTGTTTTGAAACAATCGGTTAGGCATTTAGATAGGAGAGGCTATAATTGCTTTTGAGGCTATAATTGCTTTCCTCCACATGCACAGGGAGGGAGAACAAAACTATATAAGGATTAGGTTGGACTTTCATTGAAGTCGATGTGATTACTGCTATTAATTTTTAAGTGTCAATACAGTCTGCGGAATGGATCTCTTGAACTTCAGGAGTATAATTAAACCCACGTCACTGTAAAGTCCCTCCAGGATCTAAAAGCAGAAATTCCAGTGATTTTCAGCAGAACTTGTTTTCAAAGCCAATTCAATGGTTTGAGAAACCCTTTCAGAATCACAGTTTTAAACACGGTGTGTGTGTTACATCCCATAAAACACTACCATTGCTGGCCGTAGCTTCTTGTGGTAATTTATTTTATGCTGCTGTTGTAGTTGCAGTTCCTACACATACTTTTTTCCTTTTTTACAAAACTGCAGAGTTTAGTCATATCAAATAATGTCTTCAAGGAAGTTTCAGTGTAGATGGTCCTATTCATGCAATCCAATACTGCTTAGGGTAAAAGTAGGCTCAACTTCTCAACTTGACATGCTAACTGCATAATTTTAAATTAAAGCCACAGCCAATAGATCTTTTTCTTTTATAGGAACTATTTTTTTATTTTTTTTTTTTTAGTTGGAGGGCTATCTGCAAGTCTTTGATAAACAAATTTCCCAGATTATTCTACAAGAGTAAGAGCTGAAATTTCATGTGCGAGAAAAGGACGATGAGCTCTTTTTATTGAAGCAATTGACGCACAGCCTAGTATTAATATTGGCAAGTTCTTCTGGATAGACACAATATTGCTTAGTTTACTCTGCAATAAAGATGCAGTCAAAATTCCATTGGAGCAGTGGTTTACCAAATATTATTCTTTGGTTTGGCTTTTATAAAATGAACACAGAAAATACATTCAATAACAAAAGTAGAACAATTGCATTACACCATTGTGTACTATTGTAGTAGCCAGCACAGCTGCTTTGCTTTTAAGTAAAGTACAGGTGGGAGAACTAGGGATGTGAATAAAATCAGAAAACGCTACATTCCGGGAGATAGACCAGTTCTTGATGCCTTTACACACCTTTGCCATTTATCACCTTTTACCACCATGAATTTGCAAGCTGCTAAATGGTCAACCAAGGTAGATGATAGCTCAGAGTAACTGTCACCTGGCTCGCCTGAACTAGCAAGTGATCTTAGCGAGTATCAGAGTTAAACATTAAACTAAAATTCTGCCTGACAATCATACTGACTAAGAGAGCATATGAAACACTTAAAATTTCAAGTCCCTAATTGAGTACGTTTATCTTTTTCCCATCTACTCTAAAATAGTTGTTTATTATGAAGTAGTAGCATAGTGCATTTTTCTAAGTTTTTCATTTTTAGTAACATTTAAACAGAGCTCAGTCATTTTCCTGTTTGGTTGTGGTCTGTTGTTGTCTATCTCACTTTTTGCATTATTGGAGGCACATTACATGAGGTTTCCATTCTGTATCTTAAAAGGTTATTTGTGAATGGCTAAGAATACATTTTCATCACTTCCTGATATTCCAAAATCATTTCTTTATGAGCCGTCATATGCAGCAACAGTGAGATCTTTGACAGAGTAGCAACTGGCATATTTCTTAAATCTTATTTACATGATATTCTACACCAACAAGAACAAAGTTGAGTCATATATATTTTGTTTTTTCTTGCATCTTTTATCTGCTTTTACCATACTTTTCATAAGTTCTACCTTTTGTAGGTTACCTGTCCTGTCTATGCAGTAAGTTACCTATCATGGCCGTCCAGTCTTTTATCTATTTTTTTCTGCTTTCTATTTACTATTCCATGGGCATAGAAACCAACCGTTCCCAGCAGCTTTACGCTGGCTGGAACTTACCATAGTCTTTACCCTTTATTATTTGTAAGATTCTTGCTGAAGATCTGTTCTTTCCATTCGAGTCTGAGCAAAGTATAGTCAAATTGGTGTTTACATCTGTTGGGTGGCGGTCCACAGCACATCTGTAAAACAAAAAATATAAGAAAATCCACAAGATAGATGAGCTCATAATTTTGTATCAATAGTATGAAGCGTCACATTTTGAAGGATCATTGGGTTTTTTGTGGTGCCTACTCATTTGAAGAACCTATTTCATACTGAGCCAAAATATCTGAGAAGCACATCAGATTTGTATACAAGAGCTAATATAACTTTGCCATCCATGCACCATTTTTTACACAAGGTGAAATGAAACTATTTTTTCCTGGTGATAAAATGTACTCTGCTCAATAGCACCTGAAATGAATAGTGCTTAAACCAAGCTAAATGAGTTGACTTATATGGTGTAGGAATTTTGGACTGTTAAAAAGTCCAAGAATCAACTCCTTATCTGAACAACTTGACTTTCTGAATTTTTTCAAACCATGACTTTAAATGTCACTTTAGTACTACCACCCACCTAATTTGCTGAATTATGTGTTGTTTAGTTACAGCGTTGTTCTCCTCGTTGTTATTGTTTAGATATCACCGGATGTTCTCATTTGTTTTCCATGTGCCTTTTTTTCTCAATCAAGATTCTACTGCTCTAATTTCTCAGATTCCCATCTCAGTTGTATTTTACCAACTCTCTGCTGTAAGTTCTCTTCTTTCATAAAGGTAATAATTTTATTATTCATTAAAAACAAAAAACCTGTACTTTGTCATTTCAGTCTTGACTTGTAATAGTTGTGCGTTCTCTTCTCCTTCCCCTTTGCCAATGTACATTTGTTTCGAACTGTGACATATGTGTGGAGGTGGAGGAGTGGAAGTTTTAAAAAGTTCACGAGTGCCTTTATTATTAAAATTTTGTTACCCGACTGTATAAAAGATTTCTGGTTGAAAACAGTATCTGGTCCAGACTAATTGAGTTTAATTGTGACTCACTTACCGGCCTGGATTGTGGAGTCCATGTGCAAAAATCTCAGGAGGTTGGTTTGTGCTATTAAAATGTGGGTTGCTCCGTGGTATGGAATAAGGGACATTGCACAGGTCAGTATTTACGTCGAGGCGCAATACAGAACCTGTAAAATCACTGAGAAAGTTGGAGGATAAAATAATTGTTTCTTAAAAGTATTTTATTGGTAGATTTAATTCATGTAATACTATAGTGAACTAGCAAAATAAATCACCCACTTTACTGAATAATCACATCTAGATTGGTTTTATGGTACATGCAAGCCCAAAGAATAGTAGCAGAACCTATCAAAGATTCGGTTTGGCTGATACGTTGCCTTGTTATGTGCCTATTAGAACGCCTCTGACCATGCTGTTGGGAAGCAACTTGATAATAAGAGCAACTTTCCATACATCAATATAGTTTTATAGCTTCAAACATAAGGCTATTAACTTATTTATACTGTATCTCCTCTAGAGTAACTACGGATATAATCACTATGTAGTTACATCCTGCTTTTTGCTAACGCTTTGAATCCCACTCTTGAATTCAATGATTTCTAGTCACAGTACAATCCAAAGATTAATTATACATTAATTAAAAAAAAAAATGTATTGGTTGAATGGAGGTGTTGATATTGTCAGTAAAGAATCAGAACTTTCTTGTTACATGAAACAGGACAGGATAAAATGTTTTGCCTTGCATTCATGATTGTGATGGAGGAAGGGAGGAGGACAAGAACGTAGGAGGAGTAGAAGAGCATCAAAACTCTTTTTACAAACAAGAATAGATGTGATATTTAAGTTGATTCCTTTCTGTCTTTCTTCATCGTGAATCTGTTTCAGTCTCCCCTTGTTTTACATTAATTTAAAATCAAGTGTTAGAAGTGCTCTCTGCTCTTGATTTTAAAAAGTATAACCTCACTGCAAGGGGCAGGAGCACCTGCTATTCTGCTGAGCCAAAGAGGCCTTTGAGCATAGCAACTCCTTTCAGGTCTGTAAAGGCTCAGTCCACACTTTCTCTAAATTAAGGCAAATGTTGCAACTGTAACAGAGCATAATGAAACGAGGGAAAAAGCAGGTTGAGAAAATTGCCTAGGTAGAACCAAAGTAGGATTGCTTCGTATGTTCTCTAGACATTTTCCTAAGTGATATGGTGTTCTTGTTGACTCTAATATGTGCTTGTAGACACTTTTTTAGAATGTTTGCTCAATAAAGTTGTCCTGTTCATAGAATAATAGTTTGGAAAGCACAAGTCTAACCTGTGCTTAAATACAATTGCATCTACTGGTAAGGGCTCCAGTATTTAAATAGTTTGACAGCACTCAACTACAAGAAGATGTATTTAAGCAGTAAGACTGTTCTGAAAATCAGCAGTTTGCTAAACCCAGGCACTGAAAATAGTGGGATTATGTAGTAAAGGAAGGGGGAGTAAGATTTGTCCTTGTAACTGCTGCTCACTTTTGATTCTGACCCCAAATACTGTGCAAAACCAGAAGACAATAGTAGAAATCAATCCATTGGTAGTTTATGTACCTTAAACCATCCATCTCCTCCATGTCATCTAGAGTGATCATGCCATCTCCAAGAAAAATGTATAGGAAACCATCTGGGCCAAACAGAAGCTGTCCTCCTAGGTGTTTTCGATGTAGTTCTGCTACTTCTAAAAATACTCTTGCTGTTCTCATATCAACTTGGTGTGGATTTTTCCTGCAATATAAAGATATGAACACAGTTTGCACAGTTCATTATCATTGTTCTTCTTCCTAAAAATAAACTTGAGTCACTCAAATTGTACTTTAAGATATTAGTATTATATATTAAGATGTTGTAACTTGGTGGAAAAATGTCAAATAATTATTTCTGAGAAATTTCAATTTTCCAGCATTCACAAAAAATATTTTCCTGTCTATATTCAATAAGTAGGAAATAAGTATAATTAAAAAATGACAGAATAAGTAAAAAAGTCTTAAAAAGAATAAAAGTGTACTTACTAGCATTCCAAAACTACTGTTTGAAATAAAATCAGCAATAAGTTGTCTGCAAGTGCCCAAGTATACACATTGTAAATCTGATAGTTCATTTTAGAAATGGGAAATACTAAAATGAAAAGGTTGCTGAGAAATACAGAATTTGTGAATTTTAGACTTCTACTGATACCTGGATACTGTGTATTCTACGACCCTAAGGATGTGGTCATGAGGTCCAATAGCCCACCGTTCTTGGTTGGTGGTATAAGACACATACAGCTTTCCATTTTTCTTGTAATTGGGATGGAATGCAAGGCTTAACAGTCCTCTTTCATCTCCTCCCTGCAGTCAAATGAAAAACACAAAGAATTGTGAAGTTAATTATGTTCTTTATTGTGTTTCAGCTGGAACCCCCCAAAAAAAAAAAAGTTTCTTTCTTGTGGATAATCTTTGCCCAAACTCTTTCATTTCTTTCCTGACTACTGCACAAAAAGGATTATAAAACATTTCACTTTGGGGAACTCTTTAAGAGTTAGAACAAGACAATTGTCTTATGTAGTTATCTATGCACAAGTCTCTTACGCCACTTTTGTGGAGTGATTTGTGTATGTAATCTTTGGGAAGCCATGAAGACAAGTTTAAGTGCTGTGAAGGATTCTTTGCTGGGTTACTAGGTTGCTTGTAATTCGTAGAAGACAAATAAAAAGGTCTATAATCAACAGTCACTTCTAATCCAAGTATCCAAAACCTAAAACACAGTGCTGGCTGCCAACTCCCACTGTCTTGGCAATATGTTTAGAAAACAGTTAAATTGCTTGTGTAATATGTAAACCTTTGTTTTACCCTGGAGGCAGCAACATCAGTTGTCACAACTATGGTGGTCTGTTCATCATAGCTAGTATACTGTAGGTAATAAGCAGCCTCGGTCTCTGTGCAGAGAAACCGTAGTTTTTACATGTGGTCCTTCAATGGAAAGGTTTTTGTTATTTTTTAAAACAAAAATAGAAAAATCTCTGAACAACTTTCTTTTGTTATTATGTTTGCCACAAAGATTAGTACAGTTATATGTTAAGCATCAAATCCATGTAATGTATTATGGCAATGCAAATACCCTGTGTACTTAAATAGAAGGCAATTTTCTCTTTGGCTTCTAAAAATGTATGTAATAATGCTATGCCTAAAATTGTATTTGTATAAATGAAGAATAAAACTTAGTCATTTGTTGCTCTGGAGGTAAAACAGGGGAGGGAAGCTGAGGCATAAAAATAAACAGAGTACATAATTAACAATTCAAATTCAATCCATATAGGTGATTATTCACAAGCTGATAGTTGTTTCGGAGTTTAACTCAGGGTTTGCCAGCCTTTCAAACTAGCGACTCTGTTGTAGATGCAAGTGCTCCAGCTCTGCACCCATAAGGAGACAACGTTTTGCAACTCTAACCACACCCATGATAACTAATTATGAAATTTTAAATTATAAGAGAGAATGAAGCTTTTAAAATGTATTTGCAATTCAGAGTGATGGATGGGCCTGTCTTCCTGTTGAAAGACATCCCACAAAAAGCCTAATTGGGAAAGAGCACAGCTTTCATTTATTTTAATTCAACATGATTGCCGTACTTCCTTTTTAATCACGACCACCAAAGAGAAACCTGAGTCAGAAATGGAGATGTAAATAGGTCAAGAGATTTCCACACACAGAGATGTGTACAATGAAATCTGGATCCTGCTGATGTAGAGGCAGCCAAAATTTGCTAGTTTGTTTGCTAGAAAAATTTCGTTTCGGGGGGTTATCAGAGAGGTTAGTTTTGAAAGTCTAGTTAGAGCTGCCAAATCAGTTGCAGTCATCATGGATGAAGGGACTGGTAATCTAGCTCCTTCTCCTTTGCGAGCCAAAAATAATCCTGCAGCTGAGTCTGAACTGATTGTAGATATTATTGTGTGAGTTTCTAAGAGTTTTGACCAAGTTGCTCTGATAAAGTCTGAAGCAAAGGGAGACAAATCAGTTGCTTTGGGAACAGTAAGGCATATTTCAAAGATTCCTGATGAATGATGCTATCTGTTGTGCCCAGACAAAGACACAGTCCTATTTCTTCTCCTGAGAGATGAGTTCAACTCATTTAAGGGCCCAGGAATGTCAATGAGTCACACTAGGCCTGCCATTCAAGGTGAGTTATTGAAAGTATTAATAAGAAAAGATCTTTCTGTTACTAAGCTGAAGATTTTATTTAGCACTTGATGTCATGGGAGCAGGCTCAGTGTGAAAGTGAAGTTGTTGAAAGCATAAACAGGTGAAAATTAAATTAAAAGCTTTTAAAGAAGTACACATGAAGCAAGAATTTGACAAATGAATGCAACACAGGACCTGAAAGGTAGTAAGTAGGGCAAGTTGTATTCATAGGATCAGGCCAATATTTCTACTAATTGCTGTCTTGCATGATTCTATTAGACTGCAACATATTACTTTCTTTGTAGAACGTATCTATTGCTTCCTGAAAAGTCACGCTGCTTTCTGTTTTTCAAAGTGAGCCAGACCTACTATGTTCTAAAAAGTCTATTTACTCTTGCATTTAATAAAAACTTTGGAAATATCCCTCTAAGATACTGGAATCAGTGCAGCATCAAGCCATTAGTTGGCTTATGGTCAACTAGAAATCCAGCTGAGTTTTTCCGTACTTATTTTCTCTGGTTTTGGAAAACAATTGTTCATGTGTACTTTCAGCTTTATCACTAACCGGCAAACCTGTTGTTTCCAATTAAATCACTGCCACAACTTCCATAGCTTTTGAAATGATCTCTGTGGTGCCAGTAAGTATATAGTTTTCTGTAGCGTTATGTCTCTTATGTTGTGGGGTAAATTGAGATACATCCAGCAAAATCCCTTATGAGCAGTCATTTTGGTACTGTCAAACTGGATAATTATGTACCAAATATCAAAATTTCAGATTTTCCCTATAGAATAATCCTCACTTTTATTTTTTATCAACGGACTTCTCATGTCTACTGTGAAACCAGCATCCCAAGCTTTCTAGTCTTGTCTTGTAGATACCATGTGTCAAATATCTATATCTTTCTCTTGGCAGCTTAATAACTTCTTGACATCCTTTTCTTTTTAAGTTTCGCCTTAGATGAAACCACCACCAACAAACTGTAGATGACATAGTAGCTTGAATGAGATTCTACACTACACAATTTGATGGAATAACCAGTAACATTTGTCACTTGTATAAGGAAGGGCAAGAAGAACGAGACAAATCTTTGTATTCCATTGGGATGTCTGTTGAAGACAAAGAACGATGGTTGGCTGAAATGAGCGTTAATTACCTAAACACGCTGTGGACTGGGGCCAACGTGAAATCTCTATCGTAACTAAACCTGGAAGTTCACACTTCCAATGTCTGCCTGTGCAGCTCTTTAGCTTGAATGCTCCTATCTTCTACTCGCAGTAGTCGCGTGCTTTGCACCAATGCTACACTTGTTTCAAAACTAATTTTCCTTGGGCCAGATTACAAGCTTCAGCTAAGGAGTTCTGTGAAAGGAAAAACATTCCTTTAAAAACCAGTTTAGCCTACTTTAGGACCACAAGCATGAAAATAATTTAATCAGAATTGTATTATCTTAAGTCAGTACAAAGCCAAGTAAAGATGAATTGTATGCATTAAAGTGTTTCTTTACTTTTAATTTTTAAATGGTTGGTTAGGTACATTATGTCAGTTCTAAAAGTATATTATGCCAGTAAGTGTTCTCGACTGAAGCATATTTTTAATATTTCTTTTTGCATTGTAATTTCTGTTATATATATTCATACTTGTAAAAATCTGAAACAACGGCACAACTAACACTAAGAGAAGTAATTGTTGCACGTGAATACTGGATTTTTATAGAAAGGTGCTATTTTCACGTAAGCACTCCTTAGAAGTGGGCTCTACTTTCAATCTATGTGTTTCCAAATGTACTCTGGTATATCTCTGATATTATATACAGAAGTGTTATTGTATTATTAAGGTATTATACTTTTTCTATAATACAGAAACATATGCTGCAGTTATTTTTAAGACATGCTGCCATTTCATTACGTCAATATATGTATTATTTCCTGTAGTAAATATAGAGAAATACATGGGAATGCCTTAACTGGTATTGTTAACTATTTCATTTAAAATAGATCATATTGTAAGCATGACCCTTAATTAGGTAACCTTAATAGTAATTCATTTTAGTAAGCAAAACCAGACATGACCATTTATTTCCATTACTCTGTGTGGCTTAATAGTAAACAATATAGGTAGCAGATTCCAGGTTTTCCTTTAACATTGATTTCACAATTCACTCACTTATATAAAATAGTGGGATTTATATTTAACAGCTTTTTCATCTGGACAATCCCACTCTCACATTGGAAATGAGTAGCAACCTTTTTTAAAAAGGGGTTGTGCTTAAAATACGTATATTCAACGGTCATTTGTGACTTAAAATATTAACTCAAATGTAACGGCTTTATATCATTTGGTTTTATCTATTATTATAGAGCAAATGCTGGGTAACTTGTTGAGGTAGTATGATCACCCTTTAGTTTATTTCCTATGTAATAAACACCATAACTAATATGCATTACCATGTGTTTGATCTTAAGGAGTTTTATTTGTAAAAAGCATGGGGGAAGGGGTTATGGAACATCAAAAATCTCTTCTCAGGCGTACCATATGAACTCTTCAGAAAGGGATTTCTAATTAGGAGATCCCAAAAGAATCTTTGCTTATTTGAACCTTCCTTTACCGGCTCTTACTGTAGGGCTGAAGATCAATGTCAGGTATTTTTCTCAGCGGGAAGTGTTTGCTTAATCGACATGTTTTAGAAATTTGGCCCCAGCACAGGATAGAAACTCGACTACAGCAGAAGTAGAAACCAGCAAAAGGTCTGCTGCGAGGGCACACCTTGCCTTTCAAAGCTGCATCGACTATCTGAGAAACACAAGGGGAAAGCGTCTCTGACAGGTGAAAGGGGACAAGAAATACAGAATGAGAAAACCAGAAATTGATTGGGCTGTAGGTATGGTATAGGAATAGAGCTCCTATAGACCTCTTGGGTGTTGAGAAAAGTGCTTTGCTATCTGAACATCTGTGGGGCCTGAGGCCTCTGGCAAGGGAAGAATTTGTAACATAAGGCATTTACCTTAGGGAAAAATAATTACACTGATGTCATGGCTCAGTATAGCATGCATACTAGACCCTATCTCCAAAGCATTTCCTTTTTGCTGTTGTGCCGCAAAGCTTCATTTTTTTTTTCTCATTTATAAAGGGCTTTGCAGGTATCTAAGGATTTTTTTTTTTTTAGACAATT